AAAATTCAAGTACTTAAAGATTTCACAAATATATTAAAATAAATTAAAAGTTTATTTTCTTTGGCAAATTTATGTCAGCAGGTAAATTATTTGACGGTTAGAAATCAATTTATTGAATGCGTATACCAGTCCCAGCGGCTGTAATGAAGCATGTAATTTAAGAAAAAAACTCGAAATTGATTAAAATTTAAGTTATGCATGCGATCTGCAGCGATGATCGGCCGATTTCGGTGCACAGATCCCAACTTTGCCCGGAAGCTGAAACGCATCGATTTGCGATCGCTATCAGTACGGAATAAACAATGACGACGCGGTTGCAACGCAAGGTGTAACTCGGCTGAGTATTGCTTACTTAGCCAGCGGTTTTAAGTACGAACATTAAACGCCCATTAAATCAGCATGACGAATATTACGAGTTTTTCATCGTTTACTGCTTCGGGCGAAAAATAAACTTTTATAAACTTTATTTTGGTTATAAACTTGAATATCATATTCTAATAAAAGTAGATAATATTGATTTAAATTGAAAATAACATATACCTACTCTCTCCCTAATTTGTTTATGGCCCGTTTTGGACGACGTTTCACTTCAGAAAAACGGATAAGAAAAACGTTTATAAATATTTATAATGTGCGAGCACCTGACCAGATCAAGTGCGAAAAAACAGGCGCACGCTCGTACGCACTTTGCTCCACTGCCGGGCGGGCAGTGTGTAATAATAATAATTTTCGCGGATTATTTGTTGCACGAAACCGGCGACGGGCAAGCGCGTAATAAGCGCCTCGCGACGCAAGCAATCAACGTTTATCGCGGCCAGATCAACATCGCATTTTTTCGCCATCGATTCGGTAACACAGTCCAAGTTTTAACTTAAACAGACTCTACCTTACAGTGGGTCTTAAAATGAAATACGTCCAGTTGCAATGGGCGCGAGTTGCTACACGCCGGCGGAAGGTGTTCGAAATGTCATATTTAATGACGTTCCGCGCGCGCTGCCACCTTACAATTGCGAATTTAAATAAACATAAAAACAACAATTGACACAGCGGATAAGTGGGCGCGCTGCGTTTACGCGGCGGTGCGTGCACGTCGCGATAAATCGTCGCACACAAAGGGCGAGGCGAAAATGAGGTCTAATTAAAGGGCAATTTTCGTGCGAGCGTGATCTCGTTATTCCGGAGAGATAACGTAACGTATGCAAATCGATAGGCGATTCATTACTTTTCGAGGTTAAGAGCGGTGAGGATGCCTTCAGAGAAAACCGCAAATGTCATTACCACCCAAGAGAATTATATTTAACTAACTGGCCGACAGACGTTGTTCAGTATACACGTTTAATTTGGAAAATCTCAAATCTGAGAATATTTGACAGTGCGATTGCAGCGCCGTCTGCCGGATTCAATGTAAAACAGTTCAAGATCAAAAATGTTCAGCTGCGTTAGTTGTTGTTTGTTATCACAACCACTTTGTGTCGCGTGTGAAGAAGCACTCACAAATTTAGAAATATACGATTAAACAAAGAAATCTGTGGACAAAATTGTGAATCTACATCATTCCGGGACTCCCATTGAACACACACAACAAATTTTATCAAAATCGGCCCAGCCGTTTAGGAGTTCAACGACATACACACGAAAAGAAGATGCCTACATAAAGATAAGTTTAGAATTGTTTCGATATATGACATTTTAAAGTTGCTATTGCCGAAAAGTAACAATACGATTTGAGAGTCCCTTATTTTTGATTGAATGTACCGTACCCTAAAAACGATTTAATAACATAGGTCCACTTTCCTTTACACAATCATGAAGTAATTGTTAATTGCACTTTTCCCCCCTTGGCAGCTTTCATGTTTTCAATTTTCATGACACCTTATATAAAATTATAAAAATTGCATGGAAAAAAATGTGTGCAATTATCCGGATGTGCTGCGCGTTTGGCTCGTGCCTCGCTGGTGCGCGAGCGTAACCGAAGACGCATTGCCGCGCGCGCGCCTCGACATTTAATATCCTCGCATGCGAGCGTGGCCGATTATGCGTGATTATGAATTTTTGCGTGCTTCCGACGTGGACGTCGACGCGGCCGGATCGCACGCAGATGCGCGTTGCGCGCCCATATTCGTCGTCGGTCATCGTGGTCGCTGCTGGGACATGTGCCACGCGAGCACCTCATCTCGTGTGCATGCCTTATTATTTCATTAAGCTCGTATGAAAATGTGCCAATGCGTGCGCGCGATCGGCATGTGGAGCGCGCGTGTAAATCATTCGCGACGAAGGTGGACGCACAATGATTTTCATCCATCATTTTTAATTTTAAGAGTTAATTAGTGGCAATAAAATGCCTAAATATAGAAATATTAAATTTAGGTCAACACTGCGCAATACACACGAATAATTTGCACCTAAAATCAAGAGTATAGACTTATTTGTTAAGCGTAAATATTAAAAACTAGATTTTAATGTTTTAGTTACATTTGTCTAGCATTTGGAAGCACAAACCAGTAAAAGTAAAACCAAATCATGGATTTCGTTTGTCTGGGTTGTCCTGCGCCCGTTGCACACCTGTACCTGCATGAATGCGGCGCGCGCGCGCGACACTGGCAGGTGCGAATGCCCGCGTGCTGTCTTCTCCTCTCGCGCGCGCCTCGTAAACATATAGGAAGTAGATTCACTTTCCTTCCGAACCTTTGCACTCGAACACACACTGGCACCCTTGTTGGTCGTTGCATACCTCGGTCTCGCACTCGTAATCCAATTCGAATCGAAATTGAACGCGCAAAGCGCGGCAGAAAAAAATATTGCGCGCACAGAAGGCACAATAAACGAACAATGCCCGTAAAACGAATTAGCGCCAATTTCAGCGGGCCGCGGAGAGTTATTATCGCTTCGCCGTTTCCCATTATGCGCACGTCGCATTTTTCTTCGAGACCAACAAGTCGGCAGCGAGCGAGCTTCTTTTGACCTAATTATTTTTATTGCGCGCATGCGACCGATTATAATTTATACGTCTTTGAGAAACAAGAATTCTACAGAAAATTAAAACATATCGTATTCAACTAAATCGTTAATGTGACGTGCTTTTCTTTAATTTAATCGGGTACAGACGGGTGTTCTAGTCTGTTGGAACTTACCCAGTAAAACAGTCAATTCAGGAGACTTTGTAGTATAAAAAATTGTAATATTTACTTCTTTGTTCCTCCTTTGGAGCCCTCATGTCCAATGCCCACAGATTGCACGCTTGCACTTTCAATTTTTTCCCTTATTTATTTTGTTTTGGACGTTGGCAACCAGCAGTGAAATATTTTTTTCTACCAAGCCGCAAACCGTCCGCTACCGACCGCAACCAGGATGGCAATCACATCGCCGTCATCTTTGCATGCGGTGTCATTCCGACTCGTGCCTGTATAATATGTACGCGCATTGCACATCGGGCGCATAAAATGTACCGACTTGAGTAAGAAATTTGCCAGACGATTGAGCGTCATGTGTGCAATGACTGCGGACACGCAAAAACTTGTGTATTTTTTCGGTATTTGGTTTGCGTATATGTAAAATTGTAAAATTGAGGGGGTTGCAATTAAATTTGCATATTGCGCGCAACGTCAATTATATAATGCCCAGTATCTTGCTAAGTTAGACATCTTTAGATAGTTCAATTACAGCGTGCTTATGCAAATGTATTCAACGCGTTAATGCCTCAAAAGCGCGGCAGGGAACATAACTATTGATGTTTTTACTTCTGAAACATCTAAAAAAGCTCCGAGCTGCCGAAAAGATTCCAAACAATTTTTAAAATTACTAGTTGCTTTTTACTTAAATTACTAAACACTTCAAACGTGTAATTAACCGCAACAGAAAATGAAATACAAACGATTAAACCCAAAAAATGCGTCCATTTGAGCGTAGAAATGCAGAACATCTGGAATGCTTGCAGAAGTCGAAATTAGCAATCTAAAAATAAAAACACAAACTATAATCATGTTAAGTAATTCATCAATTGACAACTATCGACAATTTCTTCGTGAATAGCAATCTATTGGGGTTTTCATGAAGAAGAAGAACATTCTCTATAAATCTTGATGTTAAAGCTTCTATCCGTCTATCTCGTGCAAAGTTTGAACTTTCCTGAAGATACAAAAACTAGCAAAAAACTCGTTTTCCAAGTCAAGCCGCTGCGTTAATCGCTGTGTGTGTCACGTCGTAATTTCGATTTGAATTTTTAATAAACCGCAATCACGCTTGCAGTCCGTATACGACGACGCTCTACATGCGAGCGACATGTTCGAAAGTCATGAGAATCTCAAATATAAATTGTCTGAGTTATATGATAGCGCGTGTGCCTATAAGTAAGTAAGTAGGCAATTTGTGATTATGGAAAAACGGCTTTTTATCGCTTCGGTAAATAATACCATTATGCTCGACGCTTGTCGAGCGTTGTCTTTTTGTGCAGCATAAAATTGCTTGCGAATCTAAAACTAGTCACGTTTTGCTTTACAAATCACTTCTTGGGTGTTCTGTGAAGATCTTGTTTTCATGTATAAGAGGATAAAATATATAACAAAAATACAAAAAATAGAATATCTCAAATTGTTAATATTAAGGATCTTAGTGAGAGAAATTGTTTCATCAGTCGAAGATGGGAAAGGACAATTAAGAGTAAATTTATTTATACTGATTATACTGATTATAAAGTGTGGAAATGAATATAAATACTGAGTTTGTACTTGGGGCGACATCTTTACTCGCACATCTACACTTAACAAATTTAACAGGATTCCTTAAAACCTGGTTACGAAATGTACAAAAAAAGATTATGTGTTTTAAAACATAAATTGAATTGATATCAAAGAAAACATAATTTTACTAAGCAAAGTGATTTCAAAAAATCTAATATTTTAGGAATGCAAAGCAATTAAAAGGTTTTTAACTCAAGTTAATATTCCTCGAAACATACTCTTTAATAAAATACAGAATTTTTGAAAATCTAACGAAAAGAGATATTTTAACTAAGTATTTTTCTTTATTTCGTCAAGATTTAAGAATTAAAAAATGATTGAACTCCCAACACAACATACGTAATTATAAATTCTCCAAATAGGTCTGCGCATCAAAATCTTCTTCCACCTCTCGAACTTTTTTCTGAAACAATGAATAAAGACATCAATATAAGCTGTCTAAGTTTAATGTGATTCCATTCATAATTCTAACATAAATAATGCGTATTAATACTAGCAGCTGGGAGCATTTTTGAGAAGTGGACTCACGGCATATGCTTCCTCCATCAGTCGAGCTATATTTTTCTTAAAATTATCAATGAATTCCGAAGTAGTCGCTGTACCACCAATATCTTTTGTTTTTACTAAATCATCTTCAATGGACTTCCTTAGAGCTTCCCCCAAAAGCTCAGCTCGTGTTCGAAATCCCAAATGATGCAACAATTGCATTCCAGCATTAATAAACGCCGTTGGATTTGCAAGATTCAGTCCTTGTAAACTTTTAGCGCGACATCGACAAGCAGGTTCAAACACTGCGCAGTTTGAACCGTAGTTTCCTGCTGAAGTCAATCCAGAACCACCAATTAATCCACAAATAATACTTGTTATAATGTTGCCGTATAGATTGGGACAAAGAAGCATATCAAACTGATATGGATTTTGCACAAGTTTGCAAGCTGCATTGTCAATTATAAGTTCTTCCATTTCAATATTGTTTCTTTTTCCTAGATCAAAGCATACGTCTCTAAACAATCCGTCAGTTAGTTTTTGAACATTTGCTTTGTGAATCACAGTAATTTTCTTCCTTCCATGATTCTTAGCGTATTCCATTGCATATTCCGCAGTTAATAACACCATCTTCCGAGAAACAACTTTTAATGAGTTTACCACACCTTTGATAGTTTCATGCTCTAACATAGCATATTCTCCTTCAGTGTTCTGCCTCACCAGGACAATATCCACATCCGGAAATTTGCAATTTACGCCTTTAAACGTCTGAAATCTAGTGATGTACGCAAACAAATTCAATTTTTTTCTTAGTTCCACATTAGGTGAGTCAAATATTAACTGCTTTTGATTATACCACCGCTCCATATGACCTTTGATAGCGCACTGATTCCTACGCGCTGAATGAACAATATAATCGATATCAGTAGGATCATCAAAGTCAATTACTTCAAAGTCTATCGGAGCGCATATCATGTAGAAGATGTCCCTAATGTGTGCCATTATCTCTTTACCGATACCATCGCCAGGGATCATAGTAACTATGTATCTCCCGCCATATTTTGCAACCGGGAGTGTTTCTTCAAGTTTGTAACGAGCGGTGACATAGGTGGTGGTTACTTCGGGTGGAGCATGAATGTTTTTAAAACCGCGCTTGTTGTCATAATTTAAGGCACGGGATATTAGCATACGTTTAAATTTAGACAGCATAATTTTGAAAATTTTATATATTTCACGAAAATGTTGGACAACTAAATGATTGAGACAGTTAAAATCTGTCAAATTCTAATTTACTTGTATATTATATAATGATTTGGGGTTTTTGCGGATTTTTGGGTTAATGGTACAGGTAATTAAACGGTAATTTACTACTTAGTTAGATCAGTCGCCTATTCAGTCATTTAAATCTTTTATATATTTATTAAAATTACATTTAAACACGCTTTGTATAAACTATAATGAAAGTTTCATGATAAAACGCATATAAATCGATTTGACTTTCGTTTGAATTTAAGGTGGCGGCCTAACGGACGGTACACAAAACATTTATGTTACGTATTTCCTTACTAGAGGGCGCAATAAGTTCATCAGCAAGTTTACCGCGTAACATTAGTTTAAATTATCTTGTACAGATGGCACACTATGTGATTCAAAGAGAATAAAACGATTGTAAATTCCAAGTCAGTTTTGTTTTGATGATTGTTTACAACCGGTTGCTTTATATAATGTGAACAAATGCTACGGATATTCAATATTTGACATACTACGTCACCGTCATAAACATGTTTGCGGTGAAATGCATCTATTTCATATAATAGTAATTTACTTCTTCACAAACAAATGTTGTTGCTATTGGAGCCAGCGAGGAGGTGGAAGGCACGCTAGGAACGCAAGAAGGTACATGACCTTTGTTAATCGTCTCTTGCGTGCAGAGCCGATGCGCGCCAAACCAGACGTTCGCAAAGACGCGTAGTAAACAACCATAAATATTAACAGTCCGCTGCGTTCATTTTCGGAGTAAGTTTTATGCTGCTGCGTGGAATTTGCACAATAAACAATTTTGTTACAAAGAATAACATTGTATACTGTAATAATTTTGTCGGTTGTCCTTGACCAGTGTAAACAAAGTGAAAATTGGTGTAGTGTTGATGTGGACCCAATCACAACGAATGTTTATAACTAGAGATAAACCGAACAGGTGAGCTAAGTTGTTAAATTACATTTTAATACTTTGATATTAACATTTTTAAGTATACTGTTTTGTGCGGTTTGAAATCGTGTAGTTCACACGAGAGAAAAGTTCACATGCTTCATTTTTTTTTAAATTTTCTTGGTTCTCACAGCGTGCGTTTACTATGAGACATATTTTTGTACACTCGTCGGTTTATTATTGTTGAATCTTGCATATTGTACACTTTGTTGCTAAAAGCAAGCGCAGCGTGCGCGAACATTTCCCGTTCGCTCAATCAGACCGGTACGACGGCAACCTGTGCCTGTCGTGCCAAATACGCAGACGGTCTCGATCGGTTCGCGTAGAAAGCGTTATTTCGCCGCCATTCATTTCAACTTTCGTGCGCCGGTGGATTACCGGCATAACGGATTCACGGATTCGTTTCAAGGTTGCACGCTGCACGTTAATAAACTGAGACGGATGTGTGCGCGCGCTTAAACGGAGATCTCTCCGGAGTTGTTTGATTTGTATTAAGAATGCAATCATTCTTCATCTGCTGGACAACATCATGAAAATAGGAAAATAATTACTCCTAGACTAGACAAGTAAGCAACACGAACACTAGATGCAATTTGTTTACAGTTTAAGGTTTAATTCATCTTCAAGGATGTTTGTTTTGATCGTTTTTCTAACTGTGTAACAGTACATCTGTTGTATGATTGAAATTGAACGATTTCGCGCGATATGATGAATGATTTATTTTGCAATTTGCCGGCAGCACAACCGGACATTGTTTTAATAACGAACATTTCCGCTATTTACTCTCTGCAGTTTATCCGTTTCCGGTTCCGGTTGTATCGAGTCTTCACTTGATTGCAATATTGCATCAATTTGTTTATAATTTACTTGATGCATCTTATGATTATTTTTCTTTGTTGCTATTGAATCGCTTGCTTTGTTATTATTGATTCGCCGCGTAATTACACATGCGTTCAATTTGAATTCGTAGAAAAAGCAATCACAATTAAATTTACGTTCACTCCACTACAAATGATTGTGAAATAATTAAACTAATGTTTAACACAATTGTAATATTGTGATTGTAGGAATCGACTTGTGACTTCGCGAGCGTGACATCATTAATATAAAATCAACATTAATTGCGTTTGAGAATCGCCGCAAACATGTGATTTGTTGGGTTATTAATAATGTAAACACGCGCTTTTTATGCTGCTAATGACATGGAATCGCCGCGAATGCGCCATTGCTGTTTATGGTTACGCAAGTTACACACTTTTACGACTTTTTATGAAATTAATTACGAAAATGGTATTAAAAAACTGTTTTTGCATCTTAATATGTTAGAACCAGTTTATATCGGTTATATTTATACGAAAACTGATACTATAACAAATTATAAAATACATAAAAATTAAAATTATTGCAGTATTGCAGTATTGCTTTACTTTTCAATAAACTCTATTTCCCATTTGAATCGATATCAATTTGACTTAACGACCACGTTAAATCCACATAAAATCACAATAGAATGTGAGAATGATGCAAATTCCCAATGAATTTACATAGATGACGTCGCTTTTCCGGCAGCTCTTCAGCAAATCGCCCACGACGATGCACAACAGGCACAACAGTATAATAATAGACGATGGCTCAACAAGCGCCCAAGACTAGATTCTAATGCCGGCTCATGGCTGGATTATAGATCGGAATCGGCGCCGATGCGCTCGATTCCACAGATCTTGATACCGGCAGTCTTTGCATCTTAAATTAGATCAATTTGTCTGTTGTCGTCATCGTCTGCGCTCATCCTTGTGCTGCGCTCGCATACACGAAACAAGACTCAAAGCGAAAGCAACTGTTAGCCCATGTTACAATTCACGACATGTTTTTATATTGCGCGATCATTTAAATATTTATAAATATCTTCATAAATTAAAAGCCGTTTAGCTTTAAACTAATAAATAACGATAATTGGGTTCTTGGAAAACAATGTTTTCGCCTTTGTTTGAAAATCAATTAAATACAACTTGCAGTGTAGTTAGGTAGTGCCTACACATATTAGTTATTGTTTTGTGTGTGTATTTTTAAGCAATAAAAGGTAATTGTAAACATAAAGTTGAATGAAACAAGCGCAAAGGAAGTCGGAGTTTCCCGAGTACACACACAATGCAGATGCTCTGCTCGCCCACACATGTCGCCGTGTGCTGGTTTGTTTTCTTTGCTTAACGCAGATGTTATTGCTTTCATTTAAATTGTACTTAGAGGCAACACACCTTTCAGTATTCATTTATTTGCAAATCACTTTATTCGCAAAATAAACTTACTGTAACATCAAATGAAGTATTAACTTATAAAAATATAAATTTACCAGTAAGTTTTTATTAAATACACGTGAAAATTAATTTTTTTATTAGCAAATGCGATTACCGGTTGTTTGCTTACAAGCTGGGTACACTACGTGTTTCAGCCTTCGCCATTCGTGCCTGATGCACATATTTAGTGATTGCTTTAAATTTCGTACCGTCCTCGTTTTGCGAGCGCGAGGCGGTACGACTATACATAGTAATGAGCGCACACATCGCGCGCCTCGCGTACGGCACTCGTACTTTTGCACCGACGTCCGTTGTCGTCGTCGTCGTCGCCGTAGTCGTCGCGGACGCCGTCAATGAACGCGAGAGCCGTTCATTCATTCATGCCTGCGCTCGGCGCGCGCGCGCGCACGCTCACCGTGCGAATGTGTTCGCGCCGAACGTGTCGGTGTGCAATGTTGTGTCTCGCCGGCCGACACAAACATACACCAACACGCGTGCAGTGCAAGACACGACAAATCATCACCGCAGCATCTCAAGTACACACAATAATGCCGCCCTGCTGCTACAGCACAAATTTTATATTCCTACTCGAGACTTGAGGCTATTCAGGATAAACGCGCAGTCGTAAAATTTGTGACTTGAAGGATAAAGGGTATCGGCCGAATTACATTTTTTACCTAAAAACAAAATTACTGGTCAAACTGGCAGGAAGTTATTACTTTTTTTATAATTTTATGTCGTTGGCTTTAATTTCTATTTTAATTATTGCGCGGGCATCTTGCAGTGCAATTGATACTTGGAACATGATGGGAAAACGTATTAAATTTAAATTTTTCGCGTGGGTTGGATAGCAATCATTTCGTTGCTTAATACGCGCTCAGAGCTAGTAACCTAATATTCTCTATAGGGTGGGTTGTTTAAACGGCTGCAATTAATCAGAATTATTTCTCCTACAAAAATCAAATTGCCCAAGCAATATGCAACCAAATGAACAGAATTTTAATTTTTTTGATTTATTGTAAGAAAATTGTTGTTATTTGAAATTTTCTTATTCGATTATCTTTAAGTCTTGCGAAGTAACTTTCAGTGTCGTTTTTAATTAGTTTCAAAAGTTTATTCGGCATCAAATAAAAAGTTGACGCGAATATCGAAGGGTGGCAAAGTTTTCAGATTAATTTCTTGCCGGATGTGAGATATGCGCTTAGAATTCGAACTTCCTGGTCTTCCTGGTGTTCTAAGTTGAACGGAACGAACGATTGGGAAACTAAGAAAGGCCCCGACGAACCGGATGCGAAATTGGGAAATTCCTGCATTATTTGCGCGCGTTCATAATTGGAAAATTGAATTTTCATTCTTCTATGAAGTGTCATTGTATTATTAATACAAAAATAAAACCTGTTCATTTATCTAAATAAATATTGTTCAATTGAGCAATAAAAATCCCAAGTAGTAATCTCAGGCAATTAAAATCTCGTCAAGTATACAACGATTTTTTCACACACCCATGCATTTCCGATTGCCACATCGTTTGGCCGCGAGCGCTCTCGTCTCGCTTTTCTCGCACGAGTCAACGCGCCTATTAATGCTCCTCGGAATAGTAAAAAAAAGTCAACGTAATACTACCACTGCACTGCAGGATACGTGGCTAGGTGTATAAGTGTGTGGGTAGGTGTAGCTGTAACACATACAGCCAGGCATCGTACGCGAATTCTCGCGTATCCTGCGCCGCTGCGGCCCTGCTGTTGCTTCGGCGCTTCGATTTTACATCCTCGCGGCGTGGCGTGGCGCGCTGCAGGAGGGTATCGAACCCCGTACGGGCGCCGAGCACGCCGCAATGTTTTGGGTCGAAAATCGCGCGCGCGCTCTATCGAACGCCTGCGCGCTCCGCACGCCGGCAGGAAAGAGCGGGAGAGAAAAGGCGGGCGGGCGCGTTTCGATCCGTCGCGTTTCTGTACTCAGTTCTCGAACGCCAGCGAGCCGCCGCGATCGAGCGCACCTTGCTTGCATCCTGCGAGAACCGTGCGCGCGAACCGCCTTTGTTATTGTTGTGCCGCGCGGGGAGATAATTTTCAAAAGCGAGGTGTTACGACACGCGAGTGAATAAATAAATAAATACTTCTCACCTACTTAGCGCACGATAACAAGTTGAATATAGTGCATCGCCAAGTTCACGCCGCTGACAAACACAACAGGACGAAATACACATTTGTGTAATATTCAAGTGTTTTCATGTTTATCTCTAATATTAAAATAAAATATTGACGCATGTGAGTGCAGATGGGAATGTAAACAAACAACACACAGAAAATAATTTTGTCCCCGAAGGACAAACTTATTCGTATGACTTTATAATCCTAACCTAACGTAATTACATTTTATTCGTATTTAAATAAATTAGTGTATAAGGTGTGTAGAAATAAAACAATGCCACTCCTTGTAAGGATCAACCGCAATTAAGGATTAGGGATTAATTTCGACAGGATTACGGCATAAGGATTACTAATACGCCGCACTGTCCTAAGGTCGCGACGTTGTAACGCCGTAACGTTGCAACCAATCGATAGCAGGATACGAGGACACCACGCAGGATACTACAAGTAAGTTTCGCGCAATTTCACCGTTTTTGGCTCCTGCGGTATTGTATTACGATTTAAATTCATTCATCTTTATAAAAGATCCTCTTTCTTTTCGTTTGTTAATCTTCAGCCTCAGGGGGCTAAGGATCAGGATCTGGTTGCATTTTTATTGCTTTATTCTTCACCCTCTTCTTTATACTCATTTAATTACTCTTATAATTTCTTAGCATGGCAAAAATAAAATAACAAAATTGACTTATCAGTAAGCAGTTTATCTGAAAACTGTCAATATCCTGTTTTGATCGTTTGTGTGTTTTGATAGATTTCAATCAGAAAATACAGTTTTTAACTCTTCGTGTCGGAATTAAACTTTTGCGCAATAGCGAGTCCACTTTGCGTGTGGCTCGGATGTGTTGTTTCTCGCCGACTATCTGTTGTGTCTGTCCGCTATTTGAATTAATTAAATTGTTTATTTTGTAACATTCGTCAAGGTCTCATCGCCAGCGTCGCGCGATTGTAAGTCCTTATGTTGTCTAAGCCGTAGTTGCGGTTTTCTCTACGTCGTGCGAAACGCAACTAAAACTAGTCGTGCGTCTATAACTTGTAATCTTTCAACGCGTTCGAATTTATCAACATCTGCGTACGCAAAATATGCCGGCTGCAAAAGCATACAATTTAATCAGTTTCCACGTTGTAATATTCAAAACATAAAATTCTTACTTTATAATTAAGTATTCTATAGAATATGTGTTGATTTCTATGCATGCGTTTTTGACATTTGGGGAAATATAATGAATTCAAATGTTTTTCCTGTTTGTTCTATTATTTTCGTTCTTTAATACCATATTCACGTGCCAGAGGTAAATATTTAAAGGCATTAACGTCGAATTGCTCAATAAACTCGAACTTTCAAATGTGTTTTCCCCAGCATCAGTTAGCTACCAAAGCAACTGAGTCATCGGTACAACTTCCTCGAGCAAAATACACTGCACGTCATGTTTCCGCGAATTCTCGATGCACAATCCATGTAAAGTCTTTTTTGGTGAGTTAACAGGCCAAGCAATAATGCTTTACACAATGTACCGCGAATGGCAAATCACACCTATAGATTTTATTCAATAAAAGTATATTGTGACTGTTATCAAGTCAGGCAAAGATTAATCACGGTGTTTCACACGCGTTTCACCACAGCACTCGAACAACCGAGTAAATATCTATTCTGCCTAGTCACTAGTCAAACAAATAGATTTATTAAGTTTAAGTTAGGCAAACAACGCGTTAGTGTGATACAAATTTTGGCGAATTATATGTGACGAAATGTTTTGAAATGATAACAAGTTGAAGAGGTTTTTATTCGTGTTAATTACTCAATTAAAGCGTGTCAGGAAGTTGCCGCACAGAAAGAATACTGCGGCCGCTGACGGATATTAAAGACATGAAAAATAGCTATTTTTAATTGCGGGCGCAATGACGAGGAGAAATGCAGGATGAGGCGGTTGGTCGTTTAATAATAATTCCCGCCGCACGAGAGAGAGAGTTTGCTCACTGCCGAAAATATGCGTTCGGTGTGTTTTTTTACGAGGGAGGAAATGCACACATAGCTTTTCGCCGGTAATTAAGCTCCAGCCAGCTAACGGACGATTAATTTTCTATTTAAAGGCTAATTATTTACGTAATTAGTGTCGAATCATCAGCAAACATACTTTTCGTATTCATCAAATGAAAATTTAATTCTAATAAGATAGCGTTTGCTACTTGTCCATCTGTTTGTAACTTTTACGTTCGTTTAGTCGTTTTAGTTGTTTGTTGAACTTGTTCGACGATTCCTCGCCACATATTAAATAATAACCGGCGACGTGACGCAATTCGTCGCGCGTCGGCACGGTGGGAAAGGAAAGGAAAAGTTTTCAACCTTCGATTTAAATGTTCGATTCGATACGAAAACAAGTTCACGTTTAACGAACTGCCAATCACAGATAATTCAGAATCAAATATTTTGAATTACCGAATATCATAGGCTTAACATAAACTTAAATAAATGTTTACCGTGCTTAAAATTACATCTCCCGAAACGATTATTTGGATTATTTTAAAATTTTCACATGTACTAAAACCTAGGTGGCATTATTGCACAATATTGGAAGATAGGTAAGCACTGTAGTTTAAGTCTGGTTCAAAACACCCGACGCGCCACATTAACTTTTATTGCAAGATGTATTTAACGTGCGCGGAAAACGCAAACGTATGCACCGCACTTGCACTAGGAATTGTGCTCGCATTCGTGCGTTCATAATGTCACAGGCACGCACAGTTGAACAAAAACCATAAAATCTGAGAGCCAACAGTACCAATGTCAGTATCACCAGTCGTTCAAGGAGCAAAGAGAGGCTTTCAATTCGCGCTGCTGTACGTATGTTCATGTTCAAGTTGAATTTTATTGTTACGTTTACATATTTCATAACGCTCGTCGTGGAAACGTCAAGGAAATGGTTTCAAGTTTAAGTTTACCATTTTTCACCTGTGAATTACACTAAAAATACATTTTTGTAATAATTCCTCAGATTAAACATTATTTTAAAGGAAAAAAATAATACAAAGTTTAAATTGAAATTCTGATTACTTTTCCGTAACAATTCTTTTGTGCGCTAAGTAAAACAGAAACGTTGAAACATTAAACCACTAAAGTTAATTAAAAATGTAAATAACTTTACAGGATTTCCATGAGAAATCTATTTCGTTGCATGCCTGATGAGAAAAACTAATTAGCGAAAGGACGCAGTAGGTAACACAGCGATGTCACAGCGATTGGAAAATTGAAAATGCAAATCGTGCGATTTCGAGCAGCTCCCACAATTCCTAACGTCCTTAACATTAACATTGAATGTTTGCCTTGCCGGCAATCGTCTGTCGACGTCATCAGCTCACTGATATTGACAATGAAAATGCAAGTAAATTTACGTGTGCGCATAAAAGTTGTTTTGCGCAACCTTTACGTGCGTGGCTCGTGTGGGATTTTTAATGTCTTATCGCGGAATTGTACGTCGTTACGTCCAGATTTATGGACATATGACGTAGTGGGTATGGCCCAGGTATTCACAAAGAAAAAACAAAATCAAAAAATTTAAATTAAAAAACTTAATTTAATCGCAAATTAACTGAAAATTATATTCGTCTTAAATGCCTGGAGTTACAATTAAACGCTAAGAGTGTATTCCAGAAACAAATAAATTAATTTCGGGCGATTACGTGCGCGCCGATGACGCTGAATGACGCAAATCGAGTTTACGTCCGCAATCGAGTTCTGATTGCGAATTGTTCGGCGGCCCGACGCCGAAACAATTATTTATGCACCAACATAAATAACTGCATGCCGCATGCACTGCGATGCGCTGTTAAATTATAATCATTAATAAATAGCGCGTTTGCCTGCATTGTTGCTAATTAAATAATTAAGGCAGCACACCACTGGCACCAACCGAATGACGCGAATAATGGGCATGCAATTAAGGTCATTACCGCTTCGCATGCTAATTTTGAGCGTAATGTGCAGGATTAAACGCGTATTACCATGGATAATCCAAGTATCTGCAAAATTTTCACATTTATATTAATTATCTGTTTATTTATTTAATTTTATATAGAATTTAATGACGATTGGGTGATGTGCAAGTTTCGGGTCATGACCTATTTTCATTATTAATAGACTTTGATATTTCATTCATTCATATAGGCTATAATTAATAATGCTGATATTTTTGATAATATTTTTGTTCTGTGGATGATATTGTTGTAAATTTCATGTTATTTTATCTTACGGCTTGTTTGTTCAATTACAAACGCACTTTGGCGCAGCGGCGTTATTTACGTTTCGTTTGGTGCTGGAAAAACATTCATTTATGCATGACCTGAATGTTTGTAACGACTCGCCTAGCTCGCTGGCATTGCAGTTGCACAAGCTGTGCAGTCACAGAGAGAATTCTCGGCGACACCGCCACATATTCTCATAACACCATGAGCCTGTCTAATATCGGAGAACAAGTATAAAATTGGTTTCAAAATTTTAAATTTTACGGTTTTTTTTTAGCGTGAATCACGAAAAATCAAGTTTTTTTTTTCAAGTAGTGATTAGATGTGAGATTGTGAATGAAACTACAGTATACTACGCGCGCTTTGGTTGTGTAGTTAAAAGCTCTCCACATAAGGCGTTGCAGGCACGGAATGCAACAACAACAACAAACGTACGCGCTCAATGAAATGTGAATGAACCTCGGAGGTGCGCTTCAAACTGTACTCGCACTTGTGTCGTGTACTCGTGCTCGTAATTGTGCTCTCATAGTATTAAGCCTAGTTTCATAAAAAAACACAACAGTTCAAGTGGATTCATACGAATTAAAGGAGTTAATCAAACAGACTTTATTTCATTCATGGTGTTTTACCTAAACTAGTGAATGAATTGTTATGAGCAAAAAATAATTAATTAACTAATTAGTAAAATTAATTACCTGTTAACTACACGTCAAAAACCAACAGGTAAAGTTTCAACACTGAATTCGCCAAACATTTCATCACTAATTGTCTGTCGGTAGACTTGTTTGAGGTTTGTTCATGTCCATTGACCTTTTTCCGCGTTGTTAGTCTTAAATTAATTCCCTGAGTGTGCAAATATTGGTACATTGTGCGAATTGTAAAGTGAAATTTCGGATTCCCAAAATTAATGCACCGTTGACGTCGTCGCAGGAATATAACTCTGCTACGGTTGTTTGCCTGCGGTTGTGAGAGAAAAAAACCGCACGAACCGGAACCGACCAAACATACTTTTACTTTGTGTTCAATTTTTTTCTTCTTTCTAGTAGTGTCTATGGTCGCGTCCGCGTTCGTGTTTCGCGCACATTCATCCATTCAGCAGAAAGAATTCGCCGTCTCCGGCGGTCGTAATTCGTTAATGATTACTGTGTGGTTCAGCTAGGCGTCCCACTTTTCGCTAATGATCGCAAATTGCAAAATCCGCGATGCGAATCACG